ACGGCGGGGCCAAGGGCCGGCACAGAGTGCTCCTGCTGCCCTGCTCCCAGTGACCAGCCACAGCAGGCTGCTGCCCCGGGCCCCAGGACAGTCCGGAGCTGCCACCAGGGCGGCTTGTCCTGCTGAACAGCACAGCGACACTGACTGACAGGTGGGCAGAGGTGGCACAGGAGGGGCTGTCAATCTTAACGGGGGGAGATAGTTCATCTTTCTCCTGCAGAGGGATAGGTGGACTCGAACTGATGACCTTTGGGTTCACAACCAATGTGTAATGTACTGTGCCACCAGAGCTCCCAGATAGTCTTCAGTTACTTTTAAGCTTTAAGACCCCTGGTGGCTTCATTTTCAGCCACCTAAGAGGCAAGCATGTAAGTCACTAACACCGGGGAGAAACGCTGTTCTTGGAACAATCAATCATTTGAGATCAAAGGACACCAGGTGGGTAGAGAGAAAGCCCAGAAACAGGAAGGACAAAGGAGGGAGCTCTGGTGGCCTGGAAGCAAGAAGCTGCACTGCAATCTCAGAGGTACGGGGTTCGAGTGCACCAGATGCTCTGCTGGAGAAGGAGGGGCAGTCTTCTCCTGTACCAGTCAGATCCAATTTGATGGCACATGCACAAAAAATAAAATAAAATTTAAAAAAAGGACCAATGGAGATGGGACATACGGGGAATGCGGGAGAAGGATGTGGTTCCATTGTAGTTAGTGGTACCACCGAGGCAGCAGATTTAAGCCATGCCCTATCCTGTGTCATTCTCACAACTGCCGTCACTCTCAAGCCCACTGGGGTCATCACGGTGCCAATCCATCCCACTGAGGGTCTTCCTCTCTTTCTTTGACCTTCTAGCCTTCCGGCATGATGACCCTCTCCAAGGGTTGATTTCTCCTGAAATTGTCCTTAAAGTCAGTGGGACAGAAGTTCACCATCCCTGCCTCCAAGATCACGCTGGCGCTCCTCCTCCCAGGCACGCTGGTCTGGCCTCTCGGAAGTCCGTGGGATTTTCCGTACTCCTCTCCACCACCACGGCTCGAAGGCATCCATTCTTTCTCAGTCTTCCTTATTCACAACCCAACTTTCAGACGCATTTGAAAACACTGCGGCTTGGGCCAGGAGCACCTTGGTCCTTAAACTGACATCCCTGCTCTTTAGAGCTCTGCAGAAGTTCCTGACAGCAAGTTTTCCCAATACATCTTTTGATTTCTCAGCATCCACAAAACAAAAATCCTCATCCCTGGACCAAGAGGCAACATCATGATGGATGGAAAAAGTCTGAGGCCGTCAGTGGTTTTCTTTTATGTGGACCCACCATCAACACCCAGAGTAGGTAGCACGGTCAGTTTCATTACAGGGTCTTTAATCAATGTCACGTGGGAATGTGTTTTAATTGTTGAGGACAAAACCGTTATGTCCTGTAAACGTGCACCCACATCACAGCAGGAAGTAGAAAACAAAGACAGAAACCTAGAGATGGCAATCCACAGAACAACTTCTTTGAAGGTACGTTGATAATAACCAAAAGGTTGGCGGTTCAAACCTACCCAGCCACTCCACGGAAGAAAGGCCTGCCAATCCAGTTCCACTAAGATGACCAGAAAACTCTACAGAGGCAGCTCTCATCCGTAACACACGGCTGTCCTAAGTCACACACTACCAACAGAACCAAAAGCAGCAACAGCCAAGATCTCTGCTGGTTCCCACCATTCTTTGGCCCTGGATGTGGCTGGTCAGGCAGCAGCCCCCAGCCCCGAATGTCTGCGGTGACCGGAGGCTCCTACCAGCCTGTCCACCCTCTCCAAGCCTCACGGAGGTTGGAGATGCCACGTGAGCAGCCTGGGGCCGTTCTGAATGACAGCTGGCTGGGGACACAGAGACCACAGGTCCAGCCCAGAGAAACCACTGGAATCTTCCACCGCCTCGGAGAGCCAGGCTCTATACTCCCTTTCCATGACTGTGCATCAGGGAGAGGACACCGGGCCTGTGGACAGTGCAGGAATGGCCCCAGGAGAAGCTGATGCGAAGTGGACACGGGGCCTGAGGTCATGCCAGCTGGGACCGTGTCCGCTGACACCTGCTGAAAACTAGGTCCTTCTGGTTAGAACCTAACTCCCCTTTTATGAAGTGGCAGGTGGTGGGGTTTGTGACTCTTGCTTTTGGCTAAGCAACAAGAGGAAAAAACAAGCCCACACGGTCCAGGAGGAAGGAGCTGGCTGAGCGTGAGGTTTGGACTCAGTCCTCAGCAGCTGGGCTGGGACGGAGAAGGACGAGGCGTGTTAGCCTTGAACCGGCCTCTGCTGCACTCAGCATCTCCGCTGCGGCTGTTTGCCAAGCACGGAGCCAGGGCCTCAGCCCCTGCTGTAACCCCGTGTTAGAGACCAGAAGCAGCTGGGGCTCTAGGGCAGAGGCTCGCAGGCAGCACAGGGGCTCTGATCGACATCCAGGTTCTTCACCTGCAGCGCCCGGGGTCCTCGCAGATAGAAGACTGCAGAGCTGGGAGGACGGGTGAAAGGCTGGACCCCAGATCTGACTGATCAGCAGATCACAATAAAGGGGTGCTACAGCATTCCAGCATGAATCCCAACACTCCCACGCCCTAGCCTAGGAGGCAAGTCAGTCAATTACATTTTTTGGGCCTCAGTTTCTCCAGCTACAAAATGGGCTAAATACTACCTACACCTGAGACACAGTGAAGTGCACTGCCCTCATCACCTAGCTTCGTGTGCCCTATTTCACACCCTGGCATTCACGTGACTTTCTCACGGAAGCTTCCGGACTCCCACCCTGCCTCAGGCCAGGTCAGTCCCTTAGCACCTGCACCTCTCCTTAGAGTCCTGAGGAAGGAAGGATGTATCAGTGGATTGATGGATGGAAGAATTAATAAAGAAGGATGGTAGATGGGTAGAAGGGAGCATGGATAGTGGGGAGATCGATGGAAGAAAGGAAGGATGAATACACAGAATGAAGGATAGATGGACAGACAGAATGAAGGATGGCTGGCTGGACAGAATGAAGGACAGATGGATGGACAGAATAAAGGACGGATGGATGGACAGAAGGCAGGCAGGATGGATAGGTGCCAGGGCGTTGCATAAGCTCATCTGGGTACCATCCTCCGCTGAAAGGAGCCGGAGGTCCCTGGAGAAATGGCTGGTTCCAGGACTGGGGAGAGGAAAGAACAAGATGAGCTTGGAACATCTTGTTGTGCCAGAAAGTCAGGATGTGATTAAAGAGGGATGTGGCCAGGTCAGAGGGACATGGGCCAGCTGGGAGGAAAGCCCACTGGCCAGATCCAGGCCATTAGAGCATCCAAATAAATAATGAGAGAAAGCATCGTGAGCTAGTGCATAAAACAAGAACGGAAGTATCCACGATGCAACCCAACTTCCTGGTGTCAAGTCGATTCCGACCCATGGTGACCCTCCACCGGGCCTCCAAGGCTGCCTCCTCCTTCACCGGGGTGGCTGGGGGATTTGAACCACAGACCTTTGCGTTAGCAGGCCAACATGTAATGGTCTCCACTACCAGGGCTTCTTAAAGAATCTGCACTCACACACACACACACACACACACACACACACACACTCTCTCTCTCTCTCTCGTGTGTGTGTATGTATGTATATATATATATATATATATATATATATATATATACATCAATGGCTATGGTGGCATAGCAGCTAAGCATTGCACTGCTGGTCAAAGTTAGCAAGTCAAACCCAGCAAGCTCTCCGTGGGAGAAAGATTAAACAGCTGGCTCTCACTGAGATTCACGGCCTCACAAACCCCGGGGCAGTGTCCGTCTGCATCACTCCAAGTCGGACCTGGCCTGATGGGAGGAGGGTTTTCATGTGTGCCAGATATATTTATACACACATACAAATATTTACATGCTCACATACTGATACATCCCTATAGGTATGCATCTATACGTATCATATAGGGAGCCTTGGTGGTTCAGTAGCAAGAAGCTGCGCTGCCAGCCTGAAGGTCGAAGGTTTGAATCCACCAGTTGTTCTATGGGAGAAAAATGGTCAATCTCCTCCCACGTGATTTACAGCCTCTGAAAAGGTGCCTGAGGGTCAGCTGTGAGCCGGTTCCGACCCGACAGTCACAACAACAATGTATGCATCACACATATGCACGTATCTACACATCAACACATCAGGACAGACCTTTCCCTTACTGTACCATCACAATTAAGAAGTGCGGAAGGACAAAGGGAACTCATAAACCACCACTTGGCAACCAATATCAGCAAATACTCGTTTCCGGCAAGAATCCTCCACCGAAGCTGAAGGGGTGGGTGGAAGTGTCATCAAAGACTGCGCTCTCCACAAGACAGCCATGAACTATCAAAGCAAAACCACCCGACCCTTGGAGCTTTGCAACGGCAAGAGCTGTGGAGACCAGCAGCCTAGGCGAAGGAGAGACGGGGCCAGCACCCCGGGATGGACAGGTGGTAGCCCTGCCGCGGTGCCCTGAGCAAACAGTGTTCCTTCCTGCCAAAAAGGTACAGGCTGAGGTGCACGAGGAGGAAACAAGCTCAAGTGTGGATGCTCAACAGATGCCTGGCTACTATTCCAAAAACGGCCAGCATCACAGAGATCTGTTCCACATTGACCCTGAGACACCCTGCCATCGAGTCAGTTCTGATCCACAGTCCGGCAGCAGAGAAGAGAGCTGCTCCACAGCGTTCGCAGGGTGTGAATCTTCATTCTCCTTCCTGAAGATAACCAAGCTGCCTGAAGTGAAGCAGGCATCCTACGATTACGAGGACACATGCCACATGACGTGCTGACACAGCCCAGGGGGTGAGAAGGAACCCAGCCCGTGGAGATGCCCCTGGGCATATCTGCAGCTGAATTTCTTGTGCAAGAAACATAAGCCACTGAGGTTGGGCCATGCAGCCAGCTGCATTCCTAACAGAGCTTGGGCCAGTGCTAATCAAATCCAAGTCCGAGAGTCTGTGGGTGATTGCAAGAGACGTGAGCCCATTAGACGCGATGCCTTGGGCTCAGCCACCGGCCAGCTCCAGCACGTGGCAGGGCGGAGCCCACACGGTCGTCCAGCACCAGGCCCTGGTCCTACCTGGGACGGTGGGATGGGTGAAAAGCATCCTTTGGATCTCAGTCACCATCTCACCAATCGGTGCACAGAGGTGAAAGCAGGCTGGCGGGCATCCACTTACTGAAAAGCTGACCTGGTCCCCTCTGGCGTGGCGGCGGGCAGGAGCACACAGGCAGCCCTTTTCCACCTTGGGGCCTGGCCAGGGGTTGCCAGAGGGAGGCAGTTTCAGGGGTCTCCTCCCTGGCTCGTGGTTAAAGGCTGCCACCAGTTCAGCTGTGCAAGATGAAAGGGTGGAAGGAATGCTGGGAGACTGGTGTACCGAGTTTATTACTTTTTTTTCCCCCCCCTAAGGAGCTAAGATTGTTCTCAGCCCTGGAGGCAGCCTGGAACCGGTTTCCATGTGGCACAAAAAATGCGAAGGAAGGGGGATAAACAGAAATCACCCAATGAAACGTGATACACGGCGGCAGCTCGTATGTCTTCTCGAGAATGGAGGTGCCATGATTTGAGGATTCTTGGGAAGCTGCCATCCCTCGTTGGCACCTCCAGGCTCTATGGGATGGGCAGAAGGTGACAGGAGTGTCTAAGCTGAGAGTGATGATCAGAGAAAGGGACTGAAAAGCTATCTAAGGTCCCTCAATCTAAGGACACTACTCTGCCATGAGCCAGATGCCCTTCCAGTTTCTGCTTGGATTCCCCCAGCGATGGGGCCCTCACTCCCTTCCATCACCAGAACGTTCTACAGTGAGGCAGTTTTCTTGTGTTCAGTTGGATGTTATTGCCTAGTATTTGATTTGGGGTATACATATCCATTGGAATGAGCCCCACGTTACAATATAGTCTTGGGGACCCCAGTGGCACCCCACATATAACAACCACCAAATGTACGGTTCTGTTTCAGCTCATGTGATCCTTCTGCCCACCTCCCTGTGGAGATCCCATGATCAATGCTTTCATGGATGAACACTTAGGACAAGGAAGACAAGGGTTCGAATCCCAGCCAGTGACTCTCATGCTTGCTTACTCTGACCTGTCAGTGGAGGCCTGTGTGCTCCTATGATGCTGAGGAGGTTTCCTGACTAACTCAGACTAGGAAGAAAGGCCTGGCATTTGGTGCCGAAGAATCGGCTCAAGAAAGGCCCCAGGGTCCTAACAGTCCAGCATGCAACTTATCACACGGGGCCGGGCTTTGTCCTGCCACACGTGGGGTCTCTACCCACGCGGCTGACAGCGATTCCTTTTCCGCTTGTCCGGGGTGGGGGTGTCTCAGAAGCTTATGGACACACAGCCAGGCAATGAGCAAACCCTTGCAGACTCCACCTTCCTGGACCCAGAATAGAAACACTGCAAAAGCATTTTAGAAATCAAACTGTTTTTATTTAAATGACAGCAACAATGTGGCCCCCATTCATACCAAGGACACAAAAAACCCCATTTACAGTGAACTTGTGTACAGAGAAGATTGTAAAAGACATCATTTTTCATACAAAAAGACACACATGTAAGCTGTGGGCTAGACGAGGCTACAGTAAAAGTGGGACCAAGAGCGAGAGAAAGCTAGACCTTCACTGTGGGCGCCCCAAAGGGCCCCGATGGCAGAGGCCTCACTTCAGTGGACATGGGTCACGTGCTGATCTGACAACACAAAACAGAGTGTCCTCTGTGACGGTTCCTTATCACTGAGAGCCACGCTTCAATTTTCAGGGTACCAGGAGGAAAACAGTTCCAGTTTTGAAATGATGTAAAAACCAGGAAGCCTGATTCTGGCTGAAGCTTCCTGAGACTTCTAGCAGGATCTGGGTTCATGGTGCATGGAGGTCCCCCGGGAGTCCCTGGGGCTGCATATGGTTAATACACTGGACTGCCAACCAAAAGGCTGGAGGTTCGAATCCAGCCAGAGGTGCCTCAGAAGGAAGGCCTGACGTTCTGCTTTGGAAAATGCAGCCACTGAGAAGCCTGTGTTACAGGGTTCTCCTCTGATGCACATGGTGTCCATGTCGAGGTGGCAGTGGCTGATTTAAGGAACCAAGAACGCCATTTTTAAATCATGGTGGAGTCAACTCAAGATGGAAGTTTCCAGTTTTCCTGGAGTGGGGGCTGCCTCAGAAGGAGCTTGTGGAAATTCCCCGAGCGCATCCCTAATTCTACAGGTCCAGTTGTCGCTGTTTGCTGACGGGTCAACAATGACTCACTGTGACTGCGTGAACAGCAGATCAGAACCGTTTCACGTGCCGTGCCATCCACACCATCTGTGCTGCGTGGAAGCTGCTGTTACAGTCAGGGTCCACCCACCTCGCTGAGGGTCTGCTCCTTCTCTGAACCCCCACCTTGCTCAGCCTGACATCCTTCTCCAAGGACTAGCTGCTCTGGCAACAGGCTAGGGACCTGGTTCCCTAGTCCTCTCAGGCCTGCCACCATCAGTCACAGCTGTGGTACAACACGCCCAACGTCTCCTAGGCTCTGAGGTTCCCACGTGCGGAAGCTCAGAGCCCACCTGACTGGTCGCTGGCAGGCTGGCCCTGACCTCTGAGACGGCACTGCCTCCCATAGAGAACTAAGCCAAAGAGGGTCTTGCTGCCCCTGAAGGCCCGCTGGGGGACCGGCTATGGGGGACTGCCTACGGGTCGGTCCTGACTCGATGTACATATTAACAAGAGCAACAGTTAGAGCTTCTGCAACGCTAAGAGTTTCATTACTTTTTGTTTTACAAAATGCACTGATTTTTGGATTTTTTTTATTAAGTAGGACAGCAGTGGGCCAACCCCCACTTCACTCCCGGGAGAATTTCCTTGTCTTAATCATCTTTTGCTTTCTGCTAGTTCCTGGCCTTAGGAATTGGCTGGATGGCAACTGAAACCAGTTGGAAAGCAGTGTTCATGGAGGCGACACACTAGCCGACTGGGTGGAACTGTACCTTCTGCAAAGCAGTGCTATTTACAAAAGCCTATTTGATTTCACTGTGGGTTTTCAGGACAGGGCTGGGAAAGAGGCTCAGCCTCCCTGCGTTCCCCCAAGGCCGAGGCCAGCCCTGGGACTTGGCAAGAGTGGTCCCACAAAAACAGGAAGCGAAGCTTTCCAAGCAGGTCAGACTCAGCCCTTGTTATTACCCCAGAGCCGGCTTCATGCCCGAGGCCGCTCACCTCGGACCACGACCACGTTCCAAGGAATCCATCACCCAGGGTGAAAAACACATCCCAGCCCTAGGGCTGGGCTCTGCTGCCAACTGTCATTTATAAAAAGCAGCACCAAAGGAGCCTTCTCGGGTGTTCTCTGCAGAAACCGCTGGGCCCTGACCCTCAGACCTCTCTCCACAGGACAGACAGACCCCAACAGCCCCGTCAATTCCCGAGGCTGGAAGCTAACCACCTCAGCCTTCTCCCTCCGAGTGGCTGCTGACTCCCAACCCTTCCGTACCTGCTCAATACCTAACCCACAGCACCACCGACACTCCCACTGCCTTCCAGCTCCCACAGGCTCTCGGGTTCCAGGCCTGTAAATCTTTACGGGAGGAGACAGTCTTGTTTTTTTCTCTCAAGAAAACTGGCTGGTGGATTCGAACCCTTGACCTCTTGGTGAGCAGCCCAACACATAACACATTGAGTCACCAGGGCTCCTTGCCAGACTAGGATGCAAGCACGCGCACACACACACACACATACACACATACACACACACACGGTGGGAGCCACACGGCACACAGGGGAGGGGACAAGGATAGGATTCTGTCCTCAGTCCTCCATGGGACTGATGGTCAGGGCCACCCATGGCAGCCACGTGGACGGAAGGGACACGGACGAGAGCCATGCCAGCAGGTCCAAGGGGACGCTGGAGAGGCCACTCTGTCTCGTCTGCGACTAGCGTGGAGTCCCCTGCAGGGCACAGCAAGGACAGGACAACAAGAGGGTCCCCAACTTGTCCCTGCCATTTGTCTGACCAGCAAACAAGAAGCCCACTTTTCTGTGTTGTAGGGATGGACTAGATTTATTATTCTTTTTAAATAAGCCCTCTGGCTGTTCCTGAACGCCCCTCGCCTCCTTGGAGGCCCTCTCTCCACACGTTCTGACATTTCCAACTGTGCAGCTCGAGCCCTCAGTCCTGTGGGGTTTGGAACTTTCTCCCCACCCATCGAAGACCAAAGCAGGAGCAGCTCAGGCACCTGGGGTGGAGGGGTGTCCCAGACCTAGCTGGACTTAGCATCGCTTGTCCAGCTCATTTCCCAAAGATGCTGTGATGCAATGTCCCCCTCGCCAGAGGCCATGGAGAGGACCCCTCCTGTAACCCTGAGCCTCAAAGGGAGTTTCTCTGCACCCCCCACCCCCACCCCCCAAATGACAATGCACAAAGCAAACCCTCAGCCCTCCTGACGATGCTGTTGGTCCGGGACATTGAGAGGCTACTGCCTGACCGCGAAGATCCGGAACGCCTTTCCATCTCGAGGAGTCCGCAAACTGCAAAACAGGGAGAGGGCATGTTACGGAAGGTTCTGGAAGGTTTTCTGCTGGGGCTCCCTGGGGCTGGACATGTGCAGGGGAGGAGCCTGAGCCCAGCTGCGGGGCAGGGGGCCGGCCTGAGCGGGGAGCAGCCGTGTCAGCCCGGGAGGGACGTCGGGGGAGCCGCTGCGGGTACCGAGGTCAGCCTCCCTCACAGGCATCCCTGTAGCTCAGGGAACAACGGCCCATGTGCCTGTATCCGACTTGCCCAGACTGCTCCCAGGTTCCTGCCCTGTCAGCCCGTCTGGTGGGCAGGCTGAGGCACCTTGGTGGCACTGGAGGTTAAGTATTGCTAAGCTGAAGCTGAATGGTTCCACCCACCCACAGCTCTGCGGGGCAAGGCTCTGTCCGTCCTGCCATCGAGTGGGAGCTGAGTCACAGCTGACCCTGTGGGTTTTCAGCGGCTGTAAATCACACTGGAGGAGACTGTGTGTCCTTCTCCTGTGGGGCAGCTGGGGCGGACTAGAACTGCATGCCTCTGGGTTGGCAGTCCTGGCCCCTCCACCACCCGAACCCCCTTCAGCACCCGCAGGGAGACAAGGACCGTGCCAGGAGCTTCTCGTGACACCCACCTCCCTCCTGAGGGGTCGCTGTTCTCCCAAAGAAACCAACCGAGCGACCCCAGAGCCCAGCCCACTCTGACTCCGAGTGGTCCCAGGAAAGCGCAGAACTGCCCACAGAGCTTCCCTGGAGACTCTCAAGTCGGACAGAGCAGAATGCTGCGTCCTTCTCCGGAGGAGCCGCTGGGGGCTCGAAGCTTTTGACCAGCAGCCAAATTCTTTAACCACTGCACCACCAGTGTTCCTTGTCATCTAGATACCCATTTTACAGGTGGAGAAACAGAGTCACAGGGAATCCAGTGACTCAGCCCTCATCTCACGCAGGGTCACTCAGGGTTCAGACGGCCCTCTCAGGCTACCAGCTAAATCCTGCAGCAACCGGAGACTTTTTAATTTTAATCATTGTATCGGGGCATGACCAGTGCCCGCCACCTGCATTCCAGCTCATGGGGACCCCTCGTGTGTATGGGCCGCCCTCTCAAGGGCTGGTTTCCTAGAAGTAAACCTCTGTGCATGGAACCCCTGGATGGACTCCAACTGACAACTTTCTGGTTAGGAGTCAAGCACAGCAACTACATGCACCAAGCACCCAGGACCCCTTGGGAGGTGGGGCGGAATGCAAATTACTCTTTCCTTTTTTCAATTTTTATTATTCTCTCTCTCTCTCTCTCTCTCTCTCTGTGTGTGTGTGTGTGTGTGTGTGTGTATGATCGAACTGGATCTGACAGGTACATGAGGAGATTGTCCTTCCTTCTCTAGCACAGCATCTGGTGAATTCAAACTGTGCACCTCTGAGACTACAGTGCAGCTTCTTGCCATTAGGCCACCAGAGCTCCCTGCAAATGACTCTTTTCAAGAGATCAATTCAATGATTCTTAATAAGTTTGTGCAAACCTCTCCACAACCCAGGATGGGGTCATTCCCACAACCCCAGAAGATCCCTCGTGTCAACATACAAATACACTGTTCCCCCGTGTAGCCCCTCACTTGAACCAGCTTTCTGTCCCTGTGAATGGTCCACTCTGGACGTCAGCTGGATGGGATCAGATGGCATGTGGCCTTGTAGTCTGGGTTCTTTCCATTAGCATGTTTTGAGGTTCACTGGAGGGCAGGTAGGATCTATGGGCACATGATTTCTTCTCATGGTGGGTTAACAGCCAGCTGTATGAGAAGACTACGTCGTGTATGATCCATTCATCAGGGGATGGCATCCGATTCTTCAGCTAGCGTAGGTCATGCTGCCACGGACATTCACGTACAAATCTTGGTGTGAGCCTGCTTTCATGTCTCTTGGGTAGATACCTGGGTGTGGACTTGCTGGGTTGTATAAAACAGACACACTGTATTCCCAAGGGTGTGCACCATTTTACAAGCTCTCCAGCGATGCAGGGGAGTTTCAGTGTGTCCACATCCTCCTCGACCTTTATTAGTGTCTGTGCTATATTTTGTTGAGGGTCTTTCTCTCTCGCTACCTTTCCCAGCAGGATGTCATTTTCCAAGACACTCAATTAACACAGTGACTGGAACAACGGAGGACAGGGCCTCGCTCCGATCTGCGTTCACAGCGTGGCTCCGGGGAGCAGTGGGCTCGACGGCCCCTCGCACACACCTTACAGACATTCCAGTGCGTGGGAAACGGAATCCCATCGTGGTCTACGTTTGCATTTGCTCTGGTGACCTAGTGCTAAGAACTGCAATCCTAATGGCAAAGGGTTCAAATCCACCAGCTGCTCCGCAGAAGGACGGGCAGTCTCCTCCTGTGGGATTAACTGCCCCTGAAAACCCACTGGAGGGGCAGCTGGGGGTCAGTTCCTACTTGGTGGTACACAACCACAACTGACCAATCAGGGAGCATTGGTGGCTCAGTGGTAAGGAGTTGTACTGCCCACCCGAAGGCATATGGTTCAAATCCACCAGGTGCTCTGCGGGAGAAAGATGGGCAATTTCCTCCCATGAAATTTACTGCCACTGAAAACTCCCTGGAGGGTCAACGAAGGGTCAGTTCTGACTCAGTGGCACCGTACAACAACAACAACTGACTCACAACACAGACCTTTTCATGTGATTACCCATCGTCTCCACTCTCTTAGTTGTGAAATCTCATTCAAATCTCTGTCCTACTTCTTTAATTAGGCTGTCTGTCTTCTTGCTATGCAGTTATAAGAAGTTACACGAATAGATTCTATCGAGGGTTTGCTGCTGTCAAGTGTCACTCGGCCAACTCTGACTCACTGCAGCCCCACGGACAGTGGACGAGAACCGTGTCCGACCTGCGCCATCGCCAGCACCATTCGGTCACGCCCAAGCCCAGCGCTGCCGTCACCGTGCCATCGGTCTCACGAACGTCACCCTCGCCTTCATGACCTTTCCCAGAAGGACGTCTTGTTACAATACTGAAGAATTCTATGCACAAAACACTGAAGGAGGCAGGAGGCATTCATGAAGAGAGGAGGGGCCAACGGTCACTCTTTGAACAGGGACTGGTCAACCTTCAAGCACTTCAGAAGGTGGCCTATGATCACAAGCTGATGGTGACGAAGGACGTTCAGGCTGCGCCGAAGGCATCGGCAAAACAGCAAGGCTTCAGGAAGTGATGGAATACCAGCCGGGGGTTTCAATAAAGGGACACAGCCTTGGGTGTGCTCACTCATCTACACCCCAGAATCTGGAAGACATTTACCTTGGCAACCAGGTGGAAGAGCAGATCCCTATTTGTACCAATTTCAAAGAAAGATGATGCAGTGGAATGTAGAAAATCAGACAATATCACACAAGAAACCTTTGTCATAGTATATCCAGAGGGAAATCGCCGGAAAGTCAAGCTAGGTTCAAAAGAGGATATAATATAAGGGTTATCAGTGCTGACAACAGTTGGCTTTGGGCCAACAGCAGAGAATTCCAGAAAGATGTTTACCTTGTTTTATTGAATATGCAAAGGCATTTGACTGTGTGGGTCATAACAAAATACAGATAATACTGCAAATAATGAGTTTTTCCAGAACACTTAATTGTGCTCATGCGGAATCTGTATAATGACCAAAGAAAGAGTTGTTTGAACATAAAAGGGTGCTGCTTAAAGTCAGGCAAGGTGTGTGTCAGGCCTGCAGTCTTCCCTCACACCTGTTCAGTCTGTATGCTGAGGAAATACTCAGAGAAGCTGGACTATGTGAAGAAGATTGTGGTATTAGAATCGGAAGAAGATTTGTCAGTAACCTGCATTATGCAGACACAACCTTGCCTGCTCAAAGTGAAAAGATTTTAAATCATTTACTGGTGAAAATCAAGGACCACGGCCTTCCGATGGGTCACACCTCAACACAAAGTCAACGCAAACCCTCACAATGCCAGCAATAAACTTCCAACTGATTCTTGAGATGATTATTAAATTCTGGTGGGACAGACTCAAGATTGTACTTTTGTTCTTGGTTTAATTTGCTTTGGCCTCAGTTTGAACTTGCACATGAGTAACTGATGGTCCGCTCCACAGTCTGCACCTTACATCAAAGACACGATCCAAGAGAACAAAAGGTCTCTCCATAGAGAGGAAGAAAAGACCAAAGTGGAGGTCAGAAGAGATTGTGTATCAAAATGTCCAAACAAGGGGGAAAGACGCTTACGTAAAAGAGCTGCACAGAAGATTTCAAAGGGCAGCTTGAGAAGACAAAGCAACGCTGTATAACGGGATATGCAGAGAGCCCGAGCTGGGAGGATACAAAGAGAAGAACTCGCTCACTGTTTCTCAGGATGAGAGCATAGAAAACCAAATTCAAGCCTCAAGCTGCATCAAAAGAAGGAACACATACAGTCACTGTACCGAGAATAACCGGTGGACACTGAAGTATTTCAGGAAGCACCCCACTCCCCGGGAACCGACGCAATATCATTTGACATATTTCAACTGGGCATGCCAGTCTACGCTAGTCCATTCGGACAAGAGCTGTCTGGCCTACTGACTGGAAGAGATGCCTATTTGTTTCCATTCCCAAGAAAGATGACCCAACAGAATGGGGAAATTATTGAACAATATCATTACTATCACATGCAAGCAAAATAGTGCTACAGATCATGTGAAAAACGACTAGAATAGTACACTGACAGAGACCTACCAGAAGTTCAGTCTGGTTTCAGAAGCAGTTGTGGCACCAGGGATATCACTGCTGTTGTCAGAGGGCTCCTGGCTGAAAGCAGAGAATACCAGGAGAATGTCTGTGCTTTCTTTATGATGCAAACACATCTGACTGTGTGGATCATAACATTGAGAAGGATGGGAATCCCAAAACACCTAATGCTCACATGAAACCTATACCTACACCATAAAGCTGCTGTCCAAACAGAACAAGAGACTCTGCTTGGTTTAAAAGAAAGGAAGGTGTATGTCAGCGCTGTACCCTTTCTCCATATCTATTCAATCTATATGCTGAGCAAATCATTCGAGAAGCTCGACTCTATGAAGAAGAAAGTGCTATCAGCACAGGAGGAAGACTCATTGACAACCAGCATTATGCAGGTGCCACAACCTTGCTTGTTCAAAGTGAGGAAGGCATGAAATACTTCCTGGAGAAGATTCAAGACTTCTGTCTTCAATATAGTTTACATCTCAACACCAAGAAAATAAACGTTTCCACCTTGGACTGATAAACGCCACTGTGATAGATTGATATAAGACTGAAACTGTCAATGAGTTCATCTTACTTGGATCCACAATTAGCACCCCTGGCACCAGCAGTCAGGAGACAGAAGAAGTATTGCATTGGGAAAGTTCATTGTCAGGGATCTGAAGAGCAATGATGTCAGTGTGAAGACTAAGGTGTCCTGATTCAGGCCATGGTCTTTTCAATCACTATGCATCTGAGAGCTGGATAATGAATGAATAAGGATGACAGAGTGGATGCCTTTGAGCTGTGGTGCCGGAGAAGAGAACAGAATACCCCACGGACTGCCAAATGAACAACAGACACGTCTTGGAGAGAGTGCAGCCAGCGTGCTCCTTGGAGGCAGGGATGGTGAAGCGTTATCTCACGTACTCTGGACGTGTTGCCAGGAGAGGCAATTTCCTGGAAAGAGACATCATGCTTGGAAAGGTGGAGGGTCGGCGAAGAGAGGGTTGGCAGAACAGACTGACACAGTGACTGCAGCCATGGGTCACGCGTCTCAGAAGATGAGGACGGTGCAGGATAGAACAGGGCTCAGATCTGTGTTCACAAGGTCACTGTGAGGCACACATGACTTGATGGCATATAACAACACCAACAGACCAACAAGCAACATCATGATCGTGAAGAAAAGACTGCAGTGGCCACAAACTTCATTTCACTAGATCCTGCCAACTCCAAGGTGAGCCTGCACCTGTTAGTAACTGCTGACAGCTGCCACGATGCCCTCCCTCGAGGGTGCCAGCGGAGCTGGCCTGCTGGCAGTGCCGGCTGGCTAGGGTGTCCCTCAGCTGTCACTCGCCACGGACCTGGCACCGCGTTAACCTGTACCTCTCCACCTCTCAGGGGATCCGGGTGACTCCTAGCTTGGTGACGGGCACCGCCTCCTGTAGGTCCGGCCCTGGCGGGCCCTCTCCCTGCTCTGTACCCAGTGATCCTCAGACAGACAGCTGTATTCCCGCTTGTTTCCCCCTTTCTTGGGGCAGCTGTGTGCTGCTGGCTGCCCTGGAGTTGAACTTTAGAAATGTGTATCAGCTGGGAGCACGTGGCGAGATGAAACCGAGAAGAAAGGCCAAGAACGCAGACACACAGCACAGGCTCGGCCATGGCCACGGCCACAGCATCCTCCAGGCCGGGAGAGAAAGATGGGAGGCTGCTGCCAGCTGGGGCTGTCCTTGCTGCCCAGGTGGTCTCCAGAAAACTTGATTCCAAGCCCCTCTCAGGCCTCAGGGCTGCAAGAATGTCCTGGATTTGCTCCCCCAATGAACTAGAGCCACCGGGCTCCCTGCACTCTGCGTGGTGGGGAGTGTTCTGGGTTTGTGTCTGCTCTGACTTTCCATCATGGGAGTAGGACGGGCAATCTCTTCCCATGAGATTTACAGCCTCTGAAAGCCCACTGGAAAGTCCAGTATAGCAGGTAACGACTGATTTTCTCCAGGAGGAGGAAGAGGAGAAAGGGCAGGGAAGAGGGTGGAGAAGAAGAGAGAGGGGAGGGAAGGAGGAGGGAGGGAGCACGGACAGTGGCTGGAGTCCACCAGCAGCCTAGAAGCAGAAAAACCAAGCCATCTGCTTCTGGGACCGTTCTGTCCTGTCCTGTCCTATCCTGTTCTGTTCTGTCCTGTCCTGTTCTGTCAGTCGACTCAACACAGCTGCGGGAGGCATGCAAAGTGCACGGGACTGGGAAATACCACTTCTGCTTCCCAAGGTTTCTGAACACAGAGAGATTTTCCGATTTCCACTGCCTGCAATTGCCAGGTGTGCACGGTCCAACATGGAGGCCACCAACCATGCGTGCCACTGAGCCCTGGACACGTGGCTCATTCAGACTGAGATGCAGCACAGACCAGGCTTCGGAGAGTTCAGTGTGCAGAGAAAAAGCATAACGTTTCTCAGTAGGAATTTTTCCCGTTGATTTTGTGTTCAAATGAAACTACTTGGGATCCAAGGTGCTTCGGTGCCATGTGGTTAAAAACGGTATTATAAATCAAAATGTGTCTAAATGATCAAAAGGAATTGTAATGACAATGTTACAAAACAAAATGCATATGTATGAAAATCTCATGATTTGTAAACTCTCACTCAAAAAAAAAAGTTGAGGAGAGGAGAAGAAATGAATTCTGTCGCTAGCCAAAGGTTGGCAGTTCGAGCCCGCCAGCTGGTTCTTCTGTAAAGACTTGGGCCTAGAAGCCTGGGGTCCATTCTGCTCTGGCTGGAATGGGTTCAGTGACAGGAGGTTTAGGGATTTCTTTTTATGTGGAAACGCTTGGTTCAGGACAATTTACGTTAAAATTTCTTGTTTCCTTTTACTGAGTTAACAAGAAAATTTAGGACTCTGTGTGTGGCTCGCAGTAGATTTCTAGACTTGGTGTACTTGGCTCTAAACTCCTTGAGGACAGAGAATTTTGTCCCTTCTGTCCCCTGCTGGGTCCCCAGGACACTATCTCTTAGGGCAGCGCCAACACCCGAGACTTACTTCGTGAGTAAGAGTTGTATGAATTCACTCTTCAGATGAGAGCTCACATACACTTCTGTATGTTGGTCTATTTTTAAAACCAAGTGACCAAAAACATTATGTCACTGCTGGTTTATTTCCCAACCTCCTTGTGCAATCTGCCTTTGAGAAACAGAGCTGGCCTAAGAAAACATCCTGAAGGATGCCTGGCCAGGACCTGGACATCCAGGTTCTTTCGGAGAACATTCTGGCAACACCCACCACCAAAGCTGCTCCTGACACACCTCCCTGCCTCGCTGACCTTGGGGCTGTGAGAGAAGGAGCTGGCCTCCAATGTCGCTGTCCCCTCTGCAGTCACCTTTCAACACTGCCAGGAAATCCTCTCCTAGAAAAGATCATTGCTAAACCAAAGCTAGTCTGACAGCAGAGCAACTTTTGGCTCTGGGTGTGAGAACTCCGTTCAAGAGGACCTGGACGTGCTTGCTTGCTAGAGGGAACCCCTAAATTTAAACTCGTCTGCTGGGAACCAATCCCATGAGCACATGCCCACCTCTCCCTTAAGGAACTGCAGTGACCAACAAGGTGCCATCAGCCATTTGGGACAGAGCCACGGTCCGTCCCCAGAGCAGGCTCCCATAGCCTCCTAATGGGAACAGGTTGCAGAGACATTTCCCAGCAGGGAGTGCCAAGGCACTTCTACGTGAGGGAGGGCTAGGACATGGCCATGCCCAAGGAAGCCCTGTCCTGACACTGAGCCTGTGCCCTAACGGAGGTGCTCTGAGCCCCTTGTGACCAGCTGCATGGCAAGTTCCACGAACACAGAGACTGGCTGCTGGCTTCTTGCTGGATAGATATGAACAGATGGATGGATGGATATGGATGGGAACAGAATGGTGATGGATGGATGGATGGATGGGTGGATGGATGGATAGGGGTGGATGGATATGGGTAGGTGGGGATGGATGGATGGATGGACAGAGATGGATGGATATGGATAGATGGTGATGGATGAATAGGCAGGGGTAGAATGGGGATGGATGGATGGATGGATGGTAGATAGGGGTGGATGGATATGGGTAGGTGGGATGGATGGATGGATGGATGGATGGATGAACAGAGATGGGTGGATATGGACAGATGGTGATGGATGAATGGGGGGGGATAGAATGGTGATGGATGGGTGGATGGATGGATGGATGGGGTGGATGGATATGGGTAGGTGGGGATGGATGGACAGAGATGGATGGATATGGAGAGATGGTGATGGATGAATGGGCGGGGATAGAATGGCGATGGATGGATGGATGGATGGATAGGGGTGGATGAATATGGGTAGATGAGGATGGATGGAGGGATATGAACTGATGAATGGATATGGATAAATGGGGATGGATGAGTGGACAGGGTCAGAATGGGGATGGATGGATGGATGGACGGACGGACGGATGGGTAGACAGGGACGGATGGATATGAGTAGATGGGATGGATGGAGATGATGGATATGGATAGATGGATGGATGGATGGATATGGATAGATGGATGGATGAATGGATAAGTCTATGAAGATGGATGAGTGAAGATGGACTGATGAATGGATATGGACAGATGGGTGGATGAATGGATAAGTCTATGGAGATGGACTGATGAAGGAATATGAATGGATATGGAAGAATGAGTGTAGGTCAGAGGACCGGGATGAAAGAATAAATTCTTTTAAAATGTTTTGTCCCAAGCTGCACTGCAATCACAAAGGTACGGGGTTCGAATCTACAAGATGCTCTGCTGGAGAAGGAGGGGCAATCTCCTCTTGTACCAGTAGGCTCCAAATTGATGGTACACACACACAAAAAGAATAAAATAAAAATTTTTTAAAAATTTCTAAAATAAAATGTTTTGTCCCAAGAATTCATTTATGGAATTTTTTACATTCAAGCCATTTGACCCTTCATCCCACAGGAGGCCGCAGCAACATTCTCAGGGGTAAGAGGCCAAGAGAACAAAGCCTGGCTCAGCTTCGCAAGAAGACAGCCTGCTCTTAAAAGTAGAAAGCTGACCAAATGGATGTCCAGGGATTTCTTTCCAGCCTGGTCAGGAAATTCCACCTAATCAGCTGCTTCACTTCCCTCCCATGAAATCAGTGGAATTTCCTTTCATTAAGTTTTTCCCAAACAAAGGTTGTGAATGTCACAGAGAAAAATGCAGAGTCAATCTCTTCTGAGATATAAAAGAGAATAAACAAGAAAGCAGTCAGAGGGAACTTTAGTAGCACCAAGAAAGAAGAGCTGGGAGCAGGCAGAGTCCTCTGGACGCAGGGCCCCTGCACTGAGAACCTCACAGACCCCAGGGACATTGATGCTAAGACACGTGGATATCTCGGAGGGTCACGGCGCTTGCTTGTGCTTATTTCTTGTTTCTCAACTTTCTGGAAAAACATGTACTGATAACACAGAGGGGAAAGTTTCTGTTTTGAAGAAAGGAAGGAAGAGGCGACCTGGGCTTCCCTCTTTGTCTCAGAGAGAACCAGTTTGGGTCTAATTTTATGGTTAAGCTAACATCAGTGGCCACATCGCTCTGCTTGACCATGTTCCTGGCAGGAGTGGTCACCACCAGCCACTGTGGATGTCCAAAGGGAGACCCTATCAGAACCCTCTCCAGGTCCTTAGAGAGGTCACCACCAGCCACCGTGGATGTTCAATGTAAGATCCTATCAGAACCCTCTCCAGGTCTTTAGAGAGGTCACCACCAGGTGGATGTCCAATGTGAGAACCTTTCAGAACCCTCTCCAGGTCCTTAGAGAGGTCACCACCAGCCACTGTGAGTGTTGTGTCAGACTCCATCCACACATCTCCTCACCCCAGAGTGGCCACCACTGGTCACTGTAGATGCTCAAAGTCACAGCTCCCCTAGGTTCCTGGAATGTCCACTACCAGCCACTGAGGATGCTCTGAGACAGGCCCCATTGTCCTCACTCCCCAGACGCCCTGAGCAGCCGTGCTGGTCACTGCACGTGTCCGGAATCAGCCCTACCTTTCTGACTGCACTCCATTCCTGGTGGAGCCCACGTAGACCTTCTTCTTGTCCACAGGCATGAGGTCCACAAGGCCCCCACTCTCGTTATGGATGACTCCTGCATGCACTGCCGTCCTGCAGATGCTGGAGGTCTGAGAGGAGGAGAAGCAATGGTCAGTGCTGGGCTGTGGCCACGTCAGCCCCAGCATTAATGTGGCTTCAGTGGGCAAAATGGTGTCCTCTGAACCGTCTCCACATTCCAGGCCCTGGTGCCTGGGGCTGTATCTGGGGAAAGGGTCTTGCCAGGGTTAGGGATTAAGATCTCAAGGTGGGATTATTCTGGAGAGAGGCGGGTCCCAAGTCCTAGAGGAGGCGGCCTCGTAAGAGAGCAGCAGCAGGACAGGGAGACTGAGACAGGAGATGGGGCAGCGACCAGAGTGGTCTGACTGGGTCAGGCCTTTAATTCTGATGAGAGGGCAGGAAGGAAGGATGAGTGGAAACAGGGAAGCCAGGGAGTGACTGGGAAGAGTGGTGTTACACTGAGGAAACTGAAATCAGTGCTATTTAACAATATGTGTACAAATCATATGGAAAACTACCTTTGTAAACCTTCATTCAAACTACAATCAAAAAGTTTTTTAAAAAAAAGTTTGATGGGGGAAGGGAGGAAAATGTGCAACAATGAATGAATGAAAATCCAACTTTTCTGTAAACTCATTAAAATCACAATTTAAAAAAAACTGATGGGAACTGAACTGGAGAACAGCAGATGACTTAGTGGCCTGTGTACTGGGCTACTAACTGGTCTGTCAGCAGTTCCAGTCCACCAGCTGCTTTGCAGGAGGAGATGGGCAGTCTCCTCCAGTCCACCGCACGGAGGGTCACCGTGAGTGGAAAAAGAGTCCACAGCAGCAGGCTGGGTTGGGTTTGGGGGCGTCCCCAGGTGCTATAAGAACCGATGCCTTTGTGGTGGTAACTGATTTCCCCACGGGCTGCCAAAAGAACACACAGGTGAGTCTCGGAGGAAACACAGCCAAAGTGCTTCTTAGAGGCGAGGACAGTGACAACTGGTCTCACGCACTTTGGGGCATGTTGTCAGGGAGGTCAGTGCTTGGAAAACTCTCACAATGCTGGGAGAGGTGAAGGGTCGGAGAGAGGACGACCCTGGTGGAGAGGAGCTAACACAGTAAGTGAGGGAAGAATTTCAGCACGGCACGACTGCGGAGACGGCACAGGACAGGCAATCTGCCCGGACTCGAGCTGTCAGACGCGACAGCATGTGCTGCGCCCAGGTCAGCTCTGACTCACAGTGTCGCTAATGATCCTTGTCCCCTCCCGCCCCGTCCGCATGCCCTCCGACATGCATAAGCCACAGTCGCAAGACAGGGATACCCTCAACAAGACAGACTCGCATCACCACGACAGTCCGAGGTGCCTTGTAAGGAAGACCTAGTACTCTGTTTCTAAAACTCCACTCTGATGCTCTGTGAGTCGGTGTGGACTCAACGGCAAGTTGGGGTTTGAGCCAGTGACTTCAAATTGCACAGGAAGTAGAAGCACGGGGCGGGGGGGGGGTCTGCTGCACATTTGGACAGACAGCAGGAGGCGATGGGCCCATGGTGGGTCATGAGCTCTCTGAAGAGCGAGGCCACTGGCTGACCTGCGTGTGTCCACGGGCTCCACGTGGGCCTCCTGACCTCAGTGCTGGCAGCCACCCTCCTTCCCTCCCGGGCACATGGCTGGTCACCCTCTGCACCAGGAAGCCTTTCCCTGGAGGAAGGACACACACCTTTCCAATTCTCAAAGGGGTACATGTCCCAGAAAAGGTTATGAAGCAGGATCTTTGCCTCTAGGTCAGAGGGCAGGTCATCTCAGAACGCCTCGCAGATCTGTTAGCAGACAGCTTGTAAATGCAGACACCCTCACTGTCCTTGGGTCAGACTCCAGCCCTTGATGGAGCGAGATCACCTGGCTCGCTCCTGGTGACCGTCCCCTGCCCCTTCCTGACGGCTCTGGGACACCAGCGAAGCAAGAGTCTTCTGTGCTGACATCAGGCTGGGGGCCCTGCATCCAGGAGCCTCCTCCTCAATAGGTGTCGGATTATCACTGGACACCGCACACTGGACACTGTGATGCTGGCCACACTGTCTTCCTCTCCTCCTTCACCTACACGTCTCCTCCCCAAGCTTCCAGAGAAGGGACAAGGTGTCCCCTGGAGGTCACCAGCTGGTGGACTAAGGGACAGATGAACGTCTGCAGGAGTAACGAGGTGCTGGCCTCAGACGCGGGGAGCCCATCCTCCCTCCTGCTCTTCCTTGTTGCCTGTGACTGAATTTAACCCCTCCAGCTGCTCTCCGCTCAGAATCAGCTGAGGGCCTCACAGTAACATTTCTGAGCTCTGGACACAGAGCGGACCCTCGTCTATGCATTTCACACGTACAGTCAGGGGAATCTAAAGCCAGGGCTGTCAGGGCGGTTCTGACTCACGGGCACCCGAGTGTGCCAGGCTGCTCTGTCCTCTGGTGGCCCACAGGACTTCTGGGGGTGAATTTTTTTTTATTGTATTATTTTTACGTGTACCGTCAAATCAGATCTGACTGACACAGGAGGAGATTGTCCCCTCCTTCTCCAGCAGAGCATCTGGTGGATTTGAACTGCATACATCTGGGATTGCAGTGCAACGTCTTGGCACTATGGGGGTGAATTTTTATGAAGTAGATAGCCAGGCCATGGTTCCGGGTCACTCCTGGCTGGACCTGATCTTTCAGCCTCTCAGTGGGCACCTCAGGGTCAACCACTAGCAGCTCCCAGGGACTCCTGCTGACCAGGTGATCTCCCAGCTACTCCACAAGACAGATTTATTATTCCCTCTTAACAGATGGGCAAGCGAAGGTCCCACTGTCTCCAGGCCAATTCTGACTCCTAGTGACCCTCCATCAGGTTTCTGAGGCTGTAAATAACAGGAGTAGATGGGCTGGTGGATTTGAACCACTGACCTTTCAGTTAGTAGCCCAACATTTAACACACTTTGCCCCCAGAAAACGAAATCAGATGACCAGCACCTCTGCCATGGGCACCACTGTGGAGGAGTCCCCGAGAGTCTTAAAAACCGAAATAACCAAGCTGACTGCCACTGGGCCGGTTCCAACTTGCAGTGATTCTCAAACCCGTTTCTATAAAGGACACCGCTCGTCACTCTCCGTCAGCATAGCTGGGGGATTTGAACCATTGATGGTTCCGCTGGCAGCACAGCACATAACAGCTGCCGTCAGAGCGCCTTAGATGAATCCACCATGTAGAACTGGTGCCATGCAAGGGCACAGGACACACAGGGAAGAATGTGACGACACGGCCATGAGCGAAGGGGCCCCAAGAGGAGCTGGCAGCCCCGTTAAGACGGGGGAAGGCCGGATCCTCACCAGCCCTGTGGACAGCACGGCCCTGGACTTCTAGTCCAGAGCGAGGATGCGTTTCAGGTGGTTCCGGCCACCTCCTCTGCAGTAACTTGCTAAGGCCGCCACAGGAAGTGGACACGGCCCAGTTTCAGGAATCCAGACCCGGGGCCAGATTTCTGAGGTGCCAGCAGCAGTGGGCTGGATGGCAGAGTCAGGACGCTGCAGGAGAGGACAGGGTTCAGGTCTGTGGTTCACAGGGTCGCTGCGAGTCACACGCAACTGGACAGCACCTAACAGGAATGACGCCAGCAAGGACCACGGCCTCTGAGAAGCGGCCACCGGGAAGGCAGCGTACTCACGTCTGTGTAGATGTTGGTTCCGACCACAGGAGACCTGGGGGACGGCTCGTCTCTGCAGTGCGCCGGACAGTGGACCCTGCCAAGGAGAAGCAGGCCCGGGTGAGTGACCAACTGCAGCCCCGACAAGGCGAGAGGCCGCGCGGCCCATCCCCTCGGACAGAAGGACTCTGCTGCGGTCAGCGCCGAGCAGCAGCGACTCACGCACAGCACAGCAGACAGGCCCGTGTGTGCCGTCCACACAGCCACCGCAGTCCGTCTCGGTGACGGCTTCCTTCTCGTCACGGACCCTCTACTTTTCCAAGCATGACATCCTTCTTCAGGGACTGACCCCTCCTGATAACATGTCCCGAGTGTGTGAATGGAAATCTCACCACCCTCACTTCTGAGCGGCGTTCCTAATGCACTCGTTCCAGGAGGAACTGGCTGGGTTTTCAGGAAATCCGTGGTGTATTCAATGCTCTTCATCAAAGGCAGCAGGTCTTCGCCGCCCTCCTTGTTCATGTCCACCGTTAGGCAGGTTTGTCAGGTGCGTCATACCTTTGTACAGACACCCTTCCTCTTCAGCGCTGTACAGACAGACGGCTCTGACAGCACATCTCCCAGCGCAACCTGTGTTCATTTCTTGACTGTTGCTGTCCTGAACTCTGACTGTGGATCCAGACAAAATGAACCCTTGACAATGTCAATCTCCTCTTTTCATCAGGATGTTGTTCACAGGCAAGAGAAAAGGGTTTGTTCCCTCCATCCATAAATTAACCACTTCGTGATACAGACCAAATGGTAAATGAAGTACGAATTTGAGATCTTTGAGTACAGAACTGTGATCGACCCTGCCTTCCACTCTCGGGGCGGCCAGTTCACACCGGGGTGCAGGACGGTGTGGAGAGTACAATTAGTGATGTTCAGACAAAGGCCATTTCCCGGTGGTGAGGAGGGAAGGGTGTGTGTGGGGGTCTTACCTCAGTGAGTCATGGGACATCACAGTCAACGCTGACCTTGAGCAGAGGGCTCAGATCACCCGCTATGCTGGGCCCCAGAGCCTACGACGGGATGAGGGGTGTGCCTTAAACTGGAAATGGGTGGGCACAGATGATGGGAGAGATCTGAACCAGGAAAGGGCGGACTCTGCTTCAGAAAAGGTCTCTGTGTTTCTGTGGACTGGAGCTGAGACAGAAATCACCATGGCAGGCGGGAGCCATCTGGCTTTGACACAAGCAGGACTCACAGAGGGAAGAGAGTCCAGCCAGGCTTGAGGCGTCCAACAGTTCTGAACAGAAAGAGCAGCTCAGGAGAAAAAGCAGAGTGTTAGGGGTGTGTGTGTGCGTGTGCAGAGTGTTAGATGTGTGTGTGAGTGTGTGAGTATGTGTGCGTACGTGTGCAGTTAGGGGATGTGTGAGTGTGTGTGCAGAGTGTTAGATGTGAGTGTGTGCGCGTTTGTGTGTGTGAGAGTGTGAGAGTGTAAGAGACACACGCACACAGGGTTTGGTTTGGTTTGAAAGGTATTATGTAAAGCCTAAGAATGTTCTTTCTCTCTGACTGCCTTCTTTGGGATGGAAGGTCAGACTCTTGTATTTTGGGGACTCATACTCTGTCTTGTCCTTTTTGGCTATATTTTCTGAAACAAGTTCCTTCTGCTCCTGTCTTGAATATCCAGGAAAGTCTACACAAGGTTGTCAGCTCCACGTGCCCATTCAAGGTATCAGCGTGAGGGTCACCATGGCGCTGAGGGTGACCCTGATGTTGGAGGTGGTCCTGGTGCTGGGGACGGCCACAGTGTTGAACGTGACGTGGTCCAGGGACGCAAAGCAGCCGGGCTCCTCCCAGGTCTCTCTCCCCCATCAGGCATTCTCTCAGCTCCCACCTGCCAGGACCTCGGGGTTCACAGCCAATGCTCTCAAATCAGTCATTCCCCACAGGAGCCCAGAAGTCTCCATGAGAAGGGCTCATGAGATTCGCCGTCAGTCGGCAGCCCTGAGCGGGCTGTCCATCCTCAGAGCCTTCAGCCCAGGCTACCAGGGGCCTCTCGCTCTTCCCAACTTCACAGAGCAGGGAAGTTCAAAAGCTTGCTCTCAAAGACAGTTCGGCTTCCCGGAGTATTTTCTGCCGCTGAGCTATTTCTCCACAGTAAATGCGTACCTCCAGAAAGTCTGCAGACCTGATCCATCAAGGATGCTCCTCTGGAGGTTCAAGGGAGGAGAATGTTTCCTTTTCCTCTTTCAAAGACGCTCTCCAGGTTCCAGTCCCTAGGGAAGGGCATCACGCTTGGCAAAGTCGAGGGTCAGTGAGAAATGGGGAGATCCCTGAAGGGACAGAGTGACACAACGGTGACAACAATGGGCTCCACCTGCGGGCCTCGTGTTACCTCCAGTCACACACACGGTCACTGTGAATCCATGTGAATGGTGCAGACGTCCTGTTTCCTCCGTCACACACACGGTCACTGTGAATCCGTGTGAATGGT